GAATGTCATGACATGACGTGTCAGAGATCCGCTCCCCCCCTCCTCCCTCCCTCCCATCCCCCCCCTCCCATCCCTCCCTCCCTCCACCACAGCTGGCATCGTGGCATCTTCACGCGGTCAGGCGGGAGGATCAGCTGACCCGGGAGACAGGTAGAGAGGTCAGTCAACACATAAACGAAGAACATGACGCTGCGCCGGTTGGTTTTCGTATGCGTCTGTGGGGGTGGGGTGTACTCGTGTTAAATAAAAAAAAAATAAAAAGAAACAGCAGCCGACAGCTGTCAGCTCAGATCCATGCCCAACATGTCAAAAGCTGACAGCCAAGACTCATCCACGTCAAGATCTGCTGACAGCCCCGACACATTCATGTGTCAACAACTGACAGCAAACAAGTACCCATGCAAAAAAAACAAACAAGGAACCCCACCACCCCCCATCAAACTATACAGAACCAAATTACTGTTACTCTAGGATTTGAAACAGCACAACATGATGACTTAGAACGACTCAACAGAAAGCCTAAACTACATGTATATTGTCTACCTACAGGTAAGCGTTGGCGAAGCTATCGTTTTGAGCACGCTGAGAATGTGAGCGTTAAGAGACGCAACGGCAGCTCGCACTCCACACAGAGAACGTATTATAGTAGACTGACGGCCGTCATCATGCCAAACATTTATATTACATACTCTCTCTCTCTCTCTCTCTCTCTCTCTCTCTCTCTCTCTCTCTAATAAGTCTAAGAGAAACACTAAATCATGCAACAACGTCAGAAATACCATCTGATCTAAAGCGCAAACGGAACCAACATAAACATCATCAACTAGCTACGATAAGAGCCCTGCTTGATCGTTTGCCATAGTTCCGAGTATTTAAATAATAACTTAGAAATAAAATAAATAGCATTTGTGTGTAGCATGTCCCCGCTCAACAGCAAACTCTGAGAGCTGTACAATCTACATTATTACCACGGCGAATCCTTGAACACTCAGAAACATTCTCAGCTTCCTTGGAAACACACTGCTTCAATATTTCCTGTTCTTAACGCGCTCAGACTAGAATAGTTTTAAAGAAATTACTTTGATATTTGTCGGTGCTTTTAAGTCGTTTTACAACGAGATGGTAGGTCAAACATTAGTAAAGTTGATCGGTCTGACGGCGAACGAGATCTCAATAAGGCCGTGACCGTAGCATGTTGATGATGCACAGAAGTTGCTGTAAACCCAGAAAGCTATTAAATAACAATGAAAATAGAATAAATTAGAAGCTTTACAAAATATGCTTACAACTTTACACACAGAATTACAATGGTCATCCTTTGGAACAACTCTAGGAATTCCCAGAGGGCAAAAGGAAGAGAATAATACTTTGGAAAAAATATCTTTGCAGGCTGAACTTCAGACAATTCTCGGCACAAACATCGAGTACCTAAATGTCACGAGGATATAATTTGATTTTTGCGTCTTCATTTTTCGATACCCTTCAACAACTGAAAAATGTATCTACTAGATCTTATGGGCCAAATTTAACACAAATAGCATTTGACTTACTTTGACATAACACAAGCGTAGTCGGCCTCTGAGAATATTCTACAGAACTACACACACACACACTCCATAGCATTTTCATTCAGTATTTACAACGGGTAACAAACTAACACGCTCACAAGACGACGAATTGTCAGTCATTTTCTTTACTCTCTGGTTTTATTTGCCTAAGAAAACAAACAAACCTCAATTCCTTCACAAATCCTCAAAAACACATTTTCTCTTTCATTTACCTCCAAACATTTCTTTTATTCATACAACCACTGAAGTAACTCCACACTGTCTAGAGGAGCACGCACTTCACTTTCCGCAACAGTTCTACCTATTTCGTCTACGTCACAGAGACATCACGTGATTTGAAAGGACCCAGATGGCGTCTAGAGGGGCGTGTACACTTCATCAGTAACTTGAGCATATAGCACCAGAAGAAGACTGCGTGGCAAAGAGCGAGAGGAAAAGTCTGTCTGCACCAACCATCACCTGCAGCACAGCAGAAGACGACGACTCATGCTGTTAACAAGCGCAGGGTAAACCCACAGACTCGGAGCAGAAAAGATTCACCTTCAGCCTGTCGGGTATGTCGACGGGACCTTTGGAGAACTCTGAGCCTGTCACGTGTTTATCCTTCTACTTCACATAAAGTCAAGCATTATATAATAACTCTAGCTACTAAACCAACAGACTTCTCTCATAAAATGTACAAATGGCGATCTTCAATACACGAAAGAAAAAAATAATAAAAAGAAAAGAAGAGCACAGGGTGCTCGTGAGAACTGAACATGTTGAGCGCATCGAAATGTCAATATTCACCCTCCGCGTATGAAGGTTAACGTGGGGGGTTTGGCATTTTAAACATTTGACACCATGAGATAAGATGAGCAAACAGTGACCGTAGAAGAAACGATTATTCAACCACATAAATTTCTAAAGCTTATTTTTTGTCTTTGTTTGTCACAAATGGAAAATCAAATATAGAATTTAAGACGTGATTAATGCACTTGCGATTCGCCTGTAGAGATTAGCTGCTGTCTTTTAAGAACAGATTGACGGCTGAAAACACATGGGAACAAAGAGGCAGTAAGAGGCCTATTCAATCATTATTTGATTCTCAGTTGGATGCATTAGATTAATAATAACAAAAAAACTGGCCAACCAGGCAAGGGAAGGAATTTCGTGTTGACACATCTTATTCCTCCATTGAAATAGTTTTCTTTCTAAATCTGTTTGCCAACTCATTACATAATATGCCAGAAACCAGCTTTAGAGGGGGTGGCAATAGATCGAAGACTGAGAAACTAAATGCATACAATACACTTATTGATTTTTGAGGATGTGAAAAGAAATATTTCAGGAGTCGAGCCCACGGCCTTGTTAAAATTCGAGGCCACGAACATTACTGGACAGAATTGACTGAGAACGACGCAATATAGCGACATAGGAAAAGGTCATGAGACCCATCAAGGCAGTTATGACAATAAACGGACATTTGCATGCAAGACAGAAAACAGGATTTTTTTCTTCTCTAACTTCTACCAGAAAACGACATTACAGGGTTTGTCCAGCTTTGGTGAGGGTGTATTGTATCCCCTGACAAACGAAGGTGGCACACAAGCTAACTGACAGAAATATAACCTTTTCTGTCTATCAAGAGATGTTCATAATCTTGACTGTCTATTGAGAGATGTTTATAAGAGGCTCTGCGCGTCTCTGGTGAGTCTATAGAGCAGTGAGGATTTACTGTCTAGCACGTCCATGGCTTCTCCGTTCAACATCTCTCCTGAGCTGACGCTCAAAGACTCGAACTCGTGGCTGAGGGGGCGGAGAGCGTCATCCCTACCCGCGGGGCCACACGACACGTTCACGTCAATGGGGAGCAAACTCAGACCCACCGCTTCCCGGGAGAAATCGTCGGCCACTTCGCAGCAGAGTCCCTGGTTGATAAAGTGGTCGCTGTCTCCGCTGTCGTAGGACAGATCCAAGATGTCCGCCGACGAGTTGGAGCCGATGCTGCTGATGCTGAGTCTGTTTCGCGCTTCTTCCATCTGGGAGAGCTTAGAGTTTTTCAGGATGCTCTTTGGTCGCCGCGTCACCTTGGGCGGCTCTTTACTGCTGAGGGGGCCCTCGGGCTGGGACTCGGGCGGGGGGAGCGGGGAGCAGGTATTGTCTGTGACCAGCACACTGGGCGTGTCAGTGGTCACTACTGTGGTCATCACTGTGGCAGAGAGAGAGGCCGTCAGGAGCACCGGAGAGTCGGATGCCCTGGTTGGCTGAGCGGGGGGAGGGTTGCCGTTGATGGCGTCCGGGCTGCTGGATGACGTAAGGCAGTGGGTGGAGCTGGAGGGGGCGGGCTGGGATGGCTGGATTTGTTGCTGCGGGGAGAGCAGGCCAGTGAGGGTCTGCAGGCTGTAATATTGCATAGCGGGGTCGTGCATAGATTGCTGTGGAGGGTGGCAGTTGTCCAGAGCACAAGAGGAGCTCTGGGGGTACTGAGAGATGTCACCGTTGTGGAGGTGGGACTGGTGGTGGTTGTGGTGGTGGTGATGAGGTTGGTGGTTGTGATGTTGCTGTTGGTGACAAAGTTGCTGCTGCTGCTGTTGTTGCTGTTGGTGGTGGTGGTGGTGATGTTGTTGCTGTTGCTGCTGCTCGTAGTGGTGGTGATGTTGTTGCTGTTGCTGTTGCTGTTCGTAGTGGTGGTGATGGTGATCGTGGTGGATATCCTGAAGATCGTGGGCGCCGCTGTCCTGCTCCGGAGAGGCGAGGCGAACGACGTCCTCGGAGAGCGGGGCAGAACAGGAGGCAGAATGGCACCAGGACGGGTGGGAGACGGCGCTGCTGCACCCCTCGTGGTGGTGGTGGCGGGCGCTGGAGGCCTCGAGCAGCTGCGTGGCGCGGTGTTTGCTGGAGAAGATCCCGTGCGCCTCGTCTCTGAAGGACGGGAGTCGGCGAGGCAGGTGGCCCGACTTGGGCATGGGCGTCTCCTCCGCGCGCCCCGCCCCGCTCATGTCCTCGTGCACAACACAGCCGCTGTCGCCGCCCGAGAACTTCCCCTTCCGCTTGAGAATCCCGCGTTTGGGCTTCCTCTCCGAGTCGAACACGGAGCTTGAGGGGGAGAGTTTTTCCCCAACATCCCCGCTCAGCCGGCGACGGTCCACGTCTAAGGGGTAAGAGGAGGACGTAACATTGTTCTCAGCACCATCAACACCACCGCTACCGCTAACACCACTACTACTACTACCGCTACCACCACACACAGCACCGTCGCTGTTACTTCGGCTCTCCCGAGCGGGAGGGTCCGGATCGAACCCGGTCGAAATTTTGTCCAGATTGAGAAGCGCCGCGAGGGACTTGCTGCTACAACCCTTCAAGATCTCCAGCACGTCCGGCGGAAGCTTCAACAAACCAGACGCGATGGACGCGGCATCATCCTCCACCTCGTCATCATCCAGGCCACCCACACCACACCCACTGTCCGGAGTCGGGGCGGGGCTGCCGGCGACAGAGGAGGACAAACTGCTGCCCGTGCTGTCCAGAGCCAGCTTCCTCTTGGTGGTCCACCTCGAGGGTCGAAAGTCGAGCTCCACGTCCGAGTCGGAGGAGATGCTGCTCTGGTTCCGCTGGTGGATGACGGCGGGCGGGAAGCCACCGTTCTGGGCGGATTCGTCCACGCACAGGGTGTAGGCCATGACCGGAGGCTCGTCGTCCGGGCTGTAGGGCGCGTCGTTGGGCATGAGCGAGTGGCCCAGGTTGACCCACCAGTGGCGTAGAGCGTCCTCCATGGTGGCGCGCCGGGACGGGGTCACGGTCAGCATGTGGCGGATCAGGCCCGCGGCGTCTGTGGGGAGGGGAGATACAGGGGGAGGTGGTTAGTGGTGGTACAGAGGGTGTACATGTAGGGGTAGGGGAAGAGAATGGGCGAAGGGGAAAGGGAGAGGGAGGGATGGAGAGAGAGAGAGTGAGAGAGAGAGAGAGAGAGAGAGAGAGAGAGAGAGGAGGGCGGAGGGTGAATTCATAACTATAATTATCATACATTTAGTTGTTACTTCATTGAGAGCAACATAAGCTTACCTAAGGACTGGAGCTGAGGCATTTTGATTGAAAAGGGTAACAAAAACCCCACCCCAAAACAAACAAACAAAAACCCACAGCAAATGGTCAGACTCCCCACTTCTTGACCCCATTGGTCATCATGCCCTAATAAGAACACACTCAGAACGTGAGGGCGCACGTGAAGCACAGAACGACTTGCCGCTGAGTACTAGTAATAGTCACGGTCTGTGTGCTTCGGAGAAATGTTTGAGCTTTCGAGTTCGAGTAAAAGGAACCTCATTGGTGCAACTGGGTCATTTAGACCTAAAAAAAAAAAGAAAAAAGAAAAAAAGAAACACTTAGAGACTGGTGCAACATTGAGTGAGTTCAAGAACTAGAACTTCCAGTGGCACCCTCCAACCACCCACAGGGGGCAATAATAATAAAATGTTGAAAGAATACGTATTGTAAAAACAGTAATCAATTGGCCTTCTGTACCCTTCAAATTCAGGCTTGTTATCTCCCCCCCCCCCCCGGTCTAATTCAGTCCAAACTCTTCTGGGTGGATCTCCATTTTGTTAAGTTAATTGCGTTTTTTTCCCTTTCGGTAAGTGTTTTACGGCGCTCGCAACTACATGAGGTTATATAAGCGCGCGGGACACATTAAGAAGCTTTCTCAGTTTGATAGGAATACGTTTTACTTACTTAAGCCTGTTTGGACCTTGTGAAGCATCATAGACCGCCATCTTTTCTACTGTCGTTACGATCCTGGGACAGTCACTGTTAGTTTTAATGAGTTTTACGGCACTTTCAATACAAAAAGGTCATAAAAGTGCTGAAGATTAGAAGTGTTACAGGTGAGCAATATACAAATAAAAGGAGAGAAAAGGATGACTGGTGTTTGAAAGGAAAGTAGCAAACTCCACTAGAGCGCGCTCTTTTGTTTGTTTGTTCGAGTAAAGAGAAGCACATCGAAACAATAATAGTTATTTGGTGCTGGGGAAAAGTAAGACAGACAGACAGAAACAACAGAGGGGAAAGTAAAGAAGTAGGATCTTCCAGTGGCGCCCTCCAACCACCCACCCAGAGCGCCCGCCAACCACTCACGCAAGTTCAGACGAAGTCTGGAAAGACGTTATGACCAGGAAAAAAAAACAGACTGTGTTTGAAGTCGCAACCCCCCCCCCCCCCCTCCCCCCGGACGGAGTTAAATGTTTTAATTTTAGTAAGAGTTTTACGGCACTTGCAACACAATAAGGTCATATAAGTGTCGAAGAATAAATGTGTT